TAGACACAGCATTGTGGTTGCCCCTGGCCTTATTCCTGCCACCAGGCAAGGCTTCAGCCTGGGAACTGGCCACAGTCTGAGGCTGGGCAGAGTCCTTTGTATCTGCCCCAGCCTCTGCCTTAGACAAAGCATTGTGGTTGCCCCTAGCCTTATTCCTGCCACCAGGCAAGGTCTCCACCTGGGGACTGGCCATAGTCTGAGGCTGGGCGGAGTCCCTTATATCTGCCCCAGCCTCTGCCTTAGACACAGCATTGCGGTTGCCCCTGGCCTTATTCCTGCCACCAGGCAAGGTTTCCACCTGGGGACTGGCCACAGTCTGAGGCTGGGCAGAGTCCCCTGTATCTGCCTCAGCCTCTGCCTTAGATGCAGCATTGGGATTGACCCTGACCTTATGCCTGACACCAGGCAAGGCCTCAGCCTGGGAACTGGCCACAGCCTGAGGCTGACCACAGGTCCTCAAGTCTGCCTTAGCCCCTGCCCTAGAAATGGCATTAAGATCCCCCCTGCCATCAACCGTAGAATCAGACGTGGCCTCAGCCTGAGTCTTGTTCCCAGCCTGAGGTTGTGCAAAAGCTTTCATGTCTGTCCCAGCCTTTGTCTTAGACTTGGCATTTGCTTTGCCCCTAACCTTACGTTTAGCACTAGGTAAGGCCTCAGCCTGGCTCTTGGTCGTAGCTTGAGGCTGTGCCTTTGTGTCTGTCCCAGTTCCTTCCTTAGACATGGCATTGGTATTGGCCTTAGCTTTAATTTTGCCATCAGACAAGGCATCAGCCCAGACACTGGCCACAGGCTGAGGCTGTGTACAGGATAACATGTCTATCTCAGCCCCATCCTTAGACATGGCATTGAGATTGCCTCTAGACTTAACCCTGTCATCAGGCAAGGTCTCAGCCTGGGCATTGGCTCTTAGGTTTGCCCTGGCCTCTGCTTTAGACATAGCCTTGGGTTTGCCTCTAGCTTTAACCCTGGCATCAGGCATGGCCTCAGCCTGAGCACCAGCTACAACTTGAGGCTGAACAGCAGCTCTCATGTTGACTCCAGTCATTGCCCTAGATACATTTCCCCTGCCATCAACCCTGGCACCAGGCATAGCTTCAGCCTGTTTCTTGGCCATACTCTGAGATTGTATATAAGCTGTCATATCTTCCCCAGTCCTTGCCTTACACATGGCATTTGTACTACTCTCGACATCAACCCTTGCTCCAGGCATGCCCTCAGCCTGGGCCTTAGCAACATTCTGAGGCTGAGTAGAAGCCTTCATATCTGCCCCAGACTCTGCCCTAGATGTGGTTTTGTAATTCCCCCTGGCCTCAATCCTGGTACCAGGCATGTCCTCAACCTGGATCTTGTCCACAGCCTGAGACTGTGCGCAAGACCTCATTTCCACTCCAGCCACTACCCGAGATGTGACATTAGGGTTTCCCTTAGCATCAACCATGGCACCAGGCCTGGCCTCAGACTGAGTCTTGGCTACACTCACAGTCTCTTCCATGGCTCTTGCCTTGGTCTCAGCCACAATTCCAGTCTTGTTCATTGCTCCCATCTTGACCACTTCCCTGGTCACTGCCAAGACCTCAGTCTGTGTCACCATTACTCTTTTAATCTCTGTCTCTTTTACAGCCAATGTACAAGCTTCAGCTTTGGTCTGGGTCATTGCTTCTTTCTTGACCTCTGCCCTGGCAGCCAGTGCCCAAGCTTTAGCCTTGGTCTGGGTCACTGCCTCTTTCTTTACTACTCTCCCAGCCTCAGCCTCAGTTTGCGTCATTGCCTCTTTCTTGGAAACTTCCCTGGCTTTGGCCTTGGCCCTATTTAGAGCCATTGCCTCTGTCTTGATCACTGTTCCAAAAACTGCTTTGGTCTCAGATTGGAGCTCTGCCTCTGCCTTGGCCTCTGTCCCAGTCATTGCCTTGACCTGGGAGTTGACCTTGGGGCTGGCTATAGCAGTGGCTAGGGCTACTTCAGCCTTAGTCCCACCTCTTGCTCCACTTTCTGCTCCAATCTTGGCCTTGGGTATACTCTCAATCTCTGCCCCAGCCATGGCTTCACTCTTGGCCAAAGTCTGGTTCTGCACCTCAACCATAGTCTCCATCTTGACTCTGGACCCATTTCTGGTCAGTCTCCTCACACTCTGGGCTCTTCCCTTGGTTAATCTGTAAATGTAGTAACAGGTGCCAGCCCAGATCACCAGTCCTGCAGTCACCCAGCCCACTTCCTGAATGCGGCCCATGTAATCACCCCTGTTGAAGGCACGAACAAGGAACAGACAGTGCTCACTTAGGCTGGGGAAAGAGGATGGTAGGTTTGGGTGTAGGTCTTCAGCCACTCAAAGGCCACTACAGCTGCCACTAGAGGTGGACCTAGAAGTGGAGGAAGGAAATTGGACTAAAATTTCTCTTCTAATTCTGTTGCATCATACAGATAGATACACAGAAGGACAGGGAAAAAAAGGAAATCATGTATTTGGTGGAAGAAGTGGATGATTAAGAAACTCTCTCTCCATCCCTCTTATTTCATCCCCTCCCCATCTCTCCAAGTTCAACAATTTTCCCCCAAGATGCTTCCATACACATTTCCCTACACCAAATGAAGAGTGGGCAGGATAGTGGGAGATCTGGCTTGGAGTGGGAGACTGAGAAGTCTCCAGACCTTGATTTTTACTGGACCTACTCTGGTCATCACTCCCATAGTTTCCCGTTCTCATACCAATCTGTAATGATCTGAGGCAGTTCCCTCCTCTCTGCTTCTCTTGATTGATGATACACCATAAAGCAGATCTATAAATTCATGCGATCTTTAGACCTAGAGACAGACAGACAGAATGGAGGGATAGATGGGAGTAGAGATTCTGTTCTTGATGGGATAGGCAAATTATTAGCAAACTACCTCTTTATCCCCCTCATTTCACTCCACTACCCTAGGTGCTGTCATACTCTTTTCCCTGTACCAAAACAAAGGTGAGGGGTGGGGTTGGGGTAGGTGACAGGGGTTGTGGGAAAGGCAACTGGGAAAGGGAGAAGCTGAGGATCCTCCAGACTGGACACTGATCCTTACTGGATGCATGCTGGATGCATGCACCCTACAGGTTACACAGGCAGTCCCCATCCTCTTACCAGTTTATACTGATCGGGGCAATTTCCTCTTGTTTCTTCGCTTCCAGTGGTGCCAATCCCTACAGCAGACCTACAGGCAGATCTATGGACCAGTAAACAAACAGGAGGTAATGAAGACTGAGTCCTTGGTGCAACAGACAAGCACCCTGGTCCCTGACCCCAAAATCTGCCTTTCCAGAGCCCAGGTCCAGTTTGCTAATGTGTCCCATCTTGTGGTCCCCCTCTCAAATCTTCTCCTGTCACTCACACTCCAGCTCATCCTTACCCCAATAATCCTACCATTTCTTGCAGAAAAATCAACAGGGCATGTGGCAGCACTATGGAAATCTGGCAGAGTGTAGGAAAGGCAGAAGTGCCCTCCTCTGAGACACTCTCAAGTCTCAGCCACCTGTTGTATCCACCCTTTCTTGTCATCCCCAGGCACCGCCCACCTTCACACCAACCTCCATGGTTCCAAGCCAGTCTCTCCGTCTTTCTCTTGTTTCCAGTGATAAACACCCCACTGGGAGTCTATGGGAAGACCTAGGAACAAACAGAGAAAAAGAAAAGTGTGAATGTTGAGTGTGTGGGACATCCCGGCATCTAAGACGTGGGTTCTGATACCTGCCTTTCTGGATGCAGAGACCCATTTCCCTGGCAGGCAGAACCTGGGGCTTCCCCAGCACTGAAATGGGCAGAGTGGAAAAGGGAGGTAGGAAAAGTGAAAGGGGAAAGACAGAGGCAATTTGTTTGCAAATCACCTGTAGGGTTCTAGGGATTTCTCCCAAAAGCCCACCATTTCCTTCATCAAGATGGTCAGGTAGATGGGGGTACCTGAAAAACTGGAGGATGGTGGGAGAAATGGAGGCCCCTAGATCCCAGACTCTAGAATCACAGCCTCTCGCCATCTGCTCGCCATTAAACCCATTATCTCTAAGAGTCTCCAGCAGTAGAGGAAACAAGATGTAGGGGAAGGCTTTTGCTTCTGTAAAATCACTACCCCCCTCCCCACAAAGACACAAAAAAAAAATAGTAAGATCATTTGATACAACAATTGGTATATTCTCAATATTATCTGAACTGCAAATGAAAGCATCCGTAGAAAAGTTTGTTGTCTTTATTAATCATCAACATACACCTAAGTTAAAATTCCTAAGCTTGGTCAGTAAATGCAGTCTAAGAAAAGTCCCCTAGCTAGCCCCATCCCAAATCCCAACCAAATAGTGCACCTAAATGCCTGTCACATAGAATTTATATTGAAACTCAATGGTTCACAAACAGTGCCTGTGATCACACTAACCTCCACAGATCCTGGGTAGTTTGCTCCTCTCCTTCTTCCCTTGCCTGGCCACAAACGGTCCCACACCAGACTGTTGTGCGACAGACAGGAAAGAGTAAAGGCACTGAGTGACGGGACCAGCATCCAGGATACAGATCCCAATACTAGCTTTTCCGGATTCAGGAACTTGGTTGTCAAAACATCCCTCCCCACATTTTGAGAAACCATCCTCGCCATCCAGTCACTAAGGCCAATCATTTTCTCTGCAAACGCCGCCGTGGCGCATCCCTTCCACTGAAACGGGAAGAAGGTGGAGCGGACATGTGCAGTCAGTGATTAGAATCAGAGAGGAAGATGGGTATCTTAATCTCTGTATTTCCCTCTTGAGACACTCCCCCCACCATTCGCCCAGTCAAAGCTCACTGTTCCCTCGCACCTATGTGGGGCGGCGGAGGGGGGAGGCGTCAGGAGATTCAGAGGTGAAGGTTTCTCCAACTTGAGCCCCTATTGCCCCCTTCCACCCCCGCACCCAATTCTGGGGTCGGCAGGCGACTGCGGCTGGGGGAAGCGCGCGGCCCCCGGCCTTACCTGCTGCTCTTTGCCCGGGCCGATGCCAGCCCGCCGTGCGCCGGGCAGCTGGTACCCAGACTGGAGTGATGACTGCACTGAAGTCTGCGTCGCTCTGCAGCTCGCGGTCACGTGAGGGCCGCGCGTCACCGCCGAGCTGGCCATCCCACTCCCAACGGGGGCCGGGCAGTGCAGCAGGACCCCCCCCAACCCCCCACCCCGCCCACACACAGACACCCCCCCCCCACTCCTTTGTGCGCGGTGCCCCTGCGCGCACCGCTTGTCACTCATCTCGATCTTCTCCAATCCCAGGGGCCACAAGTAGCATCACCGCCCAGCAGATGGAGTTTGCACTTCTCAGGTTACCAGGGAGGCTCTGCGCCCCCCTACCCTTCTCCTCCACAAGCCTTGCCCTTGGCCTTTTCAGCTTCTTTGAGGAATCCTCTAGTTCTCTCTTAGGCTATAAGACCAGCCTTCCCACCCTCCCTACACAACCCCCTCTCCCTTAGTCCACTGGTCTGTACCAAAATTGGCTAGGGAAGGGGTGTAAGGAAGGCAAGTGGAGCGTGCAAGTTTAGGTTTAACTTTCTTTTGGGTTATATTCCCCCCAACTCCTTTTTTTTTTTTTTTCTTTTAACATTACCATACCATACATTCGTGGTTTTTGTAATCGAAAAGTGCGGTAAGGCCATTTCCATTCGACACTGAAAACATACTCATGTTGTAAAAATAACAAGACTCGTTCGTTGGTGCTACATTAAAAAGTATTTTCTAGTTACTATAAACTATTTCACAGCTTTCAAAACAGACTAGCGATTACTGACACTTTAAATACAAAAATTTCCTAAACAAAACTAGCAAGTTTACAATGTGATCTATAAATTAATCTTTGGAAAGACATCCAGTTTTCTAATCTTGGCCATTTTACACAAGTGGTTTACGACCTTTTGAAGTTCTGGCTGAACTCATGGCCTCCTGTCAGGTGTTTTAGAACTTCATAGATGACTCCTGGATGACTTAATGAAGACTCAATTCCTGATGGATCCAGTGCCTTACAGACTAGTGAAGTCACAGAATAACCTGCTTTCCATTCAAGGGGCTTTATTTGGATTTTCCACAGCATGTGATGAAATTAGTCTCATTACATCCATGAAAGGGCCAACTGCTTTCTCACTGATGGAAATGAGGCTTAGCACGTGGAATCTTCTTTCTATCACGGCATTAGTATCCAGTATCAGTCTCTCATATATTATAGCAGTGGCTAGGTCCCTGGGTAAGGAGCCCTGGTGGTGCAACAGTTAAGCACTCGGCTGCTAACCGTTGAACCCACCCAGCGGCTCTTCAGAAGAAAGACCTGGCAATCTGCTCCTGTAAAGATTACAGCCTAGAAAAACCTACGGGGCATTTCTACTCTGTCACGTGGGGTCATTATGAGTCGAAATTGACTCAACGGGCACATAACAAGTCCCTGGGTATTGCAAATGGTTTGCGCCCAATTATTAACCGAAATGCTGGCAGTTCAAATCCACCCAGAGCCACCACACTTACTTCAGTAAGACTACAGCCATTGAAAATCTTATGGGGTGCAGTTCTACTCTGAAACCCATGGGGTGGCCATGAGTCGAAATTGACTCCATGGCAACTGTTTTGATTTTTTTTAAGTGTTCAGCACTTTCCAGTGCAGATGGTGGTGAAGATCTGTGGGTGACTGTGAATCACTGCAACACCCCTCGGATGTCCGGGTCATTCTTCCCTCACAAATAGAAAGACAGTGTACAGGATCCCAAGCAGTCGCCAGGAGAAAGAAGCCCTTTCATTCCCTGCCTTCTGTTCCAATTTCACTGCACTGGCCACTCAAGCCCCTCAGAATAATCCCAGAACTCAGGGACAATGCATGCAGAAGTTAGTCTTGAGACATCCTCCAGTCGTACTCTAAATAGAGACCCTCCAGGCAGCCTCTTTTTAGAAGGCCGAAATCTGATACCCCAGCAGGAGGCTCCTCCTGTGAGGGGCCTCTGTGTAGGGGAAGGCCCTTCCCTGAGGCCAGCCAGGGAGCCCACAGTGCCACAGAACTTGATGGATGGCTTTTCAGAACTCAATTGCCCGTAACAAACTTACATTATCCACCAAAGGAAAAGATTAATAATATGATTACATAAAAATTGAAATCTTTGGTAAAGTTTAAAAAAACATGTCAAAATGCTAATTTATAGCAATCCAAAAACTTACAAATCATTAATAAAATGATAAACAACCCAAAAGGAAAATGGGCCAAAGACATGAACAGATTTTTTCACAGACAGTAAATACAAATGACTGCTAAATATATGAAAACATGCTCAACTTCAAAAAAAAGGCAAAATAGCCCAAAGGTGGAAAGAGCCAAAATGTCCATCAACAGATAAATGGATAAACAAAATGTGGTGCATACATACAATGGAATATTACTCAACCATAAAAAGAAATAAAGTACTGATACATGCTACAACATGGATGAACCTGGAAAACACTTTGCTGAGTGAAATAAGTCAGTCACAAAAGGGCAAATACTGCATGATTCCATTTATATGAAATATCTAGAACAGGCAAGTGTGTAGAGATCAAAGTTTATTAGTGGTTACCAAGGGTGGGTGATAGGGAGGAGGAAAAGAAGATACAATGCTTAGGGGACAATGAGCTTCTGTTAAGGGTGATGGAAAAATTTGGAAACAGTTAATGGTGATGGATGAACAACATGATGAACATAATTAATGTCACTGAACTGTACTGGGAAGATTGTAGAAATAGCAAATGTTTTGTTACCTATATATTTACCACAATAAAAAATAGGTAAATCAACAAAATTGTGAGTTACTATGATTTAGAAATTTGATAATGTTGTTGACTAGTTTTCGGGGAAATGGACACTCCCACACTGTTGGATGGAATCTTTATTTGGAGGGCAATTTGGCAAAATCTATTAAATACTAAATAAAATGTTCCACAAATTCTTTGACCCAGCAATTCTATTCTTCGGAATTTAGCCAGCCTATATGTCTGAATAGAAGATTTCAAAGGCGGCTTGAAAAGACAAAGTAAAGTATTATAATGACATGTGCAAAGATCTGGAGGTAGACAACCAAAAGAAAAGAACATGCTCAGCATTTCTCAAGCTGAAAGAACTGAAGAAAAAATTCAAGCTTTGAGTTGCAATACTGAAGCATTCTATGGGGAAAATATTAAATGACACAGGAAGCATTAAAAGAAGATGGAAGGAATACACAGAGTCACTATATCAAAAAGAATTGGTCGACGTTCAACAATTTCAGGAGGTAGCATGTGATCAGGAACCAATGGTACTGAAGGAAGAAGTCCAAGCTGCACTGAAGGCATTGGCAAAAAACAAGGCTCCAGGAATTGACAGAATACCAATTGAGATGTTTCAACAAATGGATGCAGTGCTGGAAATACTCACTCATCTATGCCAAGAAATTTGGAAGACAGCTACCTGGCCAACAGACTGGAAGAGATCTGTCCATCTGTATTTTTGCCTATTCCCAAGAAAGGTGATCCAACCGAATGTGGAAATCATTAATATCACACACAAGTAAAATTTTGCTGAAGATCAAAAGCGGCTGCAGCAGTATATCAACAGGGAACTGCCAGAAATTCAAGCCAGATTCAGAAGAGGACATGGGACCAAGGATACCATTGATGATGTCGGATGGATCCTGGCTGAAAGCAGAAAATACCAGAAAGATGTTTACCTGTGTTTTATTGACTATGCAAAGGCATTCGACTGTGTGGATCATAACAAATTATGGATAACATTGCGAAGAATGGAAATTCCAGAACACATAATTGTGCTCATGAGAAGCCTGTACATAGATAAAGAGGCCGTCATTCTAACAGAACAAGAGGATACTGCATGGTTTAATGTCAGGAAAGGTGTGCGTCAGGGTTGCATCTTTCACCATACTTATTCAATCTGTATGCTGAACAAATAGTCCAAGAAGCTGCACTATATGAAGAAAAATGGGGCATCAGGATTGGAGGAAGACTCATTAACAACCGGAGATATGCAGATGACATAACCTTGCTTGCTGAAAGTGAAGAGGACTTGAAGCACTTACTGATGAAGATCAAAGACCACAGCCTTCACTATGGATTACACCTCAACAGAACGAAAACATAAATCCTCACAACTGGACCAATAAGCAACATCATGATAAATGGAGAAAAAATTGAACTTGTCAAGGATTTCATTTTACTTGGATCCACAATCAACACCCATGGAAGCAGCAGTTAAGAAATCAAAAGACACATTGCATTGGGCAAATCTGCTGCAAAAGACCTCTTTAAAGTGTTGAAAAGCAAAGATGTCACCTTGAAGACTAAGGTGTGCCTGACCCAAGCCATGGTATATTCAATCGCATCACATGCATGTGAAAGCTGGACGATGAATAAGGAAAACCGAAGAAGAATTGACGCCTTTGAGTTGTGCTGTTGGCGAAGAATATTGAATATACCATGGACTGCCAAAAGAATGAACAAATCTGTCTTGGAAGAAGTACAACCTGAATGGTCCTTAGAAGCAAGGATAGCAAGACTACTCACATACTTTGGACATGTTATCAGGAGGGATCAGCACTAGAGAAAGACATCATGCTTGGTAAATTAGAGGGCCAGCGAAAAACAGGAAGACCCTCAACAAGACAGACTGACGCAGTGGCTGCAACAAAGGGCTCAAGCGTAACAACGATTGTGATGATGGCATAGTAACAGGCAGTGTTTCGTTCTGTTGTACATAGGAGTCGCTATGAGTCGGAACCGACTCTACGGCACCTAACAACATATGCCTACACCAGTCCCTGGGTGGCACAAATGGTTTATGCTTGACTACTAACTAAAGATTGGCAGTTCAGATCAACCCAGAAGCACAGTGGAAAAAAGGCCTGGTGATCTGCTTCCGTAAAGATTACAGCCAAGAAAACCCTATGGAGCAGTTCTACCCTGTAACACATGGGGTCACCAAGAGTCAGAATCAACCCAACGACAAAGGTTTGTTTTTGGTTTTTGGTATATACCCATACAGTTTCACAAAGGAATGTGTACTAGGGTATTTATCACAGTGTTTGAAAAAGTTAAAGACAACAGAAGGAACATAAGATGCCCATCAATAAGGG